AGGGGCGCAGAAAACAAAATAAGAAAAGTAGCTTCGAACCCACCCTTCAGCCAAGGCCCTATGGCTGGAAGAACCAAAAGAAGGAGGGGAGGGGTGGGTAATTAGCTTTGGAAGCCCCCCCCCTTTGGAAAGGCGAGCCCGGCCTTACCCCGGCTAGGGCCCCCCCGACTGGAAAATGCCCACTAAAGGGGGAGGGGGGGGCCCTCCTCCCCCCTGCTCCTCTCCCTTCTCCGGATTTCCCGGAACCCTGATCGCTTGGGTTGTGGAATATTCCAGGCCCTCGGAATTTCCAAAGATTTAACACATTGTTTAAAACATGTCCAGCAGTATGGAATTTTCAAAAAATTGAAAGATCTTCAATAAATATCTAGAAAGTTTGGGTGATTCCGGATTCTCCGGAACCCTGATCGCCTGGGTTGTGTTGGAAATTCCAAGCCCTCAAAATTTTAGAACTCTTAAAATCTAAAGATAAAATAGAAAACACAATTATATTGATTTAGTTGTTTGGTTGAAAAAACAACAATCTGGTGGTTCCAGATTTCCCGGAATCCTGATCGCCTCTCGGCACGGCCCTGGCTGCCCATTGGCACGACATTTCATTAAGATTCGTTTGGGTCCCTCTTGGATTGTCTTCGGACCCTTTAGGGTGGCCTCCTGGGCCGTCTTGGAACGATCTTTGGAGCCTCTTGGGCTGTTTTGGGCCATTCTTGGCCCCAAAAGGCGATAACCCGAAAACCCTTGCAAAACCATTGAAAGATCAACAGTTTCTGCCTTTTTGGGCCCTTCTGAGAAGCCTCTTGGAGGCAACTTGGAGCGTCTCGGTGCTCTCGCTCCCACTGCTGCTGCCGCTGAGAGGGTGAAGCGGAAAAGAGGATGAGAAGGTGAGGAGGAGGAGGAGAGGAATGGGGGGTGAGGAGAAGGAGAAGAAGGAAGAGGATGAGGATGAGGATAAAGATGCGTTCGCAGGAGGAGGTGGTGGCGTTCGCAGGAGGAGGACGAGGAATAGGAAAATGGAGGAAGATGACGACGACGATGACGGCGACAGCGACGGCACGACGACGGATTTCAACTATAAGGCCTTCGCGAGCCTGTCTCCTTGGCGACTCTGGAGCACTCCCTGACTCTCTCTCTCTCTCTCTTTCTGTAGATCTATCTCTTCCTGTCTCTCTCTCCCTCTATCTCTCTCTATCTCTCTCTCTCCGTCTTCCGTCTCCATGCAGAAGTGACGTCCGGATCGAGATATTGCGAGCCTATTGGGTGCCTCTTGGGGCGTCCTGGGGGGGCCTCTTTGGGGCCTCTTGGGAGCCTCCTGGGGCCTCTTGGGGCTTCCCGGGAGCCTCTCGGGGCTGAGGGCTCGAAATGTTCGATGGGGTCCCCCGTCTGGGCACACTCTTGGAGCCGTGTTGGGTCTTGGGGGCATCTTGGGCAGTCTTGCAGGCGTCTTGGGCCGTCTTGGAGCCCTCTTGGGCCGTTTTGGGACAATCTTGGAGGCCTCTTGGGCCGTCTTGGAGCGATCTTGGGGGCCTCTTGGGACGTCTTGGAACGTCGGGGAGCGGAAGAGGCGAGAACGCACAGATCATTCAAAAAGCAATGGGGAATCAATGAATGTTGCATCTTGGGGCCCTCTTGGGAGTGCTCCTGGAGGTGATTTGAAGTGTTTTGCAGGCCTCTTGGAGGAGGCATTTTAGGGGGGCCAGTCCCCATAAAACGGGAAGGCATTTTGGAGGGACCCGTCCCCCTAAAACTGCACCCAAACGGGGGACCCGAACGAACATTTCGAGCCCTCAGCCCCGAGAGGCTCCCAGGAGGCTCCCAAGAGGCCGCAGGAGGCCCCCAAGAGGCCCCAAGAGGCCCCAAGAGGTCCCCAAGAGGCCCCCAGGACGCCCCAAGAGGCTCCCAATAGGCTCCCAAGAGGCCCCCCTCTGTCGTCGTCGTCGTCGTCGCCGCCGTCGTCGTCGTTCCCGTTCAGGGTCGGCGGCACCGGCCGTAAGACCTTCGCAATGTCTCGATCCGGGCGTCACTTTTGCAGAGGGCGGTCCCCCTAAAGAAGGTCGCCATTTTTGGGGGGACTGGTTCCCCTAAAATCCCATCTGGTTGTAAGGGGACCAATCCCCCTAAAATCCCCTTCCGTTTCATGGGGACCGGTCCCTCTACAATGCCGTCCCGTTTTATAGGGACTGCCCCCCGACCAAGGAGACCAAGGACCGCATTATGATACTCTTGAGGCGCGGTTTGACCGTCTCGAGTCCTCGCGGTGTGCATTGGCATCTAACACTCGGAAATAACAGATGCGTTTTCGTCTTCGCGGCTGTGATTAGTTTCAGCTACTGGATGCAACCGAGTATCGCGAATGATAGGACCGTTATATTGTGCTTGCCATTACTGCACTTGCTTCCATATGTGTATAGGTGCGCATACGCGAGCGTATGTGTAAACATGTATACATCATGTGTTATTGCACACGTGTGCTTATATAATTATGTGTATTGACACATATATATGTATATAGATATATATATATATATATATGTGTGCAACTATGTATGCATATATATATATATATATATATATATATATATATACTAGAACCTTCGCGCGCGCTTCGCGCGCGCTCAGGTTCTAATTGTGGGCACGGCCTGGTCCCACCCCATGTTCTGGAAGCGCGCTTCCGGAATATGGAGGGGCCTCTGATCATTCTCATGCGCTCCTGCGCCCTATTCGCTCGCACCCTGGACCCTGGACCCTGGACCCCTGCCCTCTGTACTTTGCGCGATCGTCGTCGTCGATGCCGGCGGCGCATGATCCCTTTCCCATGTTCCGGAGAGCCTGATCCGGAACATGGGGGCGAAGAAAGGCCTCGCGCGGGTGGGGCGGGGCCTCCTCGGCTTGTGTTGGCCTGAAGGCTCCATGGGGGCTCTTGGGGGTCTCTTGGGGGACTCTGGGGGCCTGTGTTTGTCGTCTCTTGGAATCATTTGGAGGCCTCTTGGGGTCTCTTCGGATCTCCTTGGGGACTCTTGAAGGCCTCTGGGGACCCCTTCGGGCCCTCTTGGAGCCTCTTGGGGCCCTCCCGGAGCGGAAAACTGGATTTATGAATGTTTGGTCGTCCTCTGGGGCCCCTCTTGGGGCCGCCTTGGAATCCTCTTGGGCTGTTTTGGGTGTCAATGAGGCCGTCCGGGGAGCGTCTTTGGGGCCTCTTGGGCCGTCTTGGGGTGTCCTGGCGGGCCTCTTGGGCCGTCTTTGAGCGTCGGGAAGGCGAAAAGGCCAAAAGGCCAAAACATAGAAAAACATAATGGATAATTAACAATTATCCCTCCTCGGGGTCCTCTGGGGGGACCTCTTGGAGACTTCTTGGAGCGTCTTGGCGGCCGCTTGCGCCGTCTTGGGCTCATCTTGGTTGTTTCGGGGGCCTCTGGGGACGTCTTGGGGGCCTGTGGGGGCACTCCGGACTCGTCCTGGGGCTCTCTAGGCAGGTTCACGGCACGGCCGGGACTTTCCAGGGGACCTGAAGCCACCATGGCGATGGGAAGCAACTTGGCGAAGGCCCCCGCCCCCGGTACCCCGATATTATACATACGCATACCAGTTTACAATAGGTTATATATTCATATGCACATACATATATATATATATATTACACATAAGCATATATATATATATATATATATATATATATATATATATATATATAGCAAGTACATGCACTCCATCGGCGGCCAAACAGCGAAGGTGATGGATTATCACCTTTTCGACGTGTGCACGTTCGAGAGGCACAACACTCTGGGACCGAGGTTCCCCCGCTCGAGATTCGAGCGGAAAACGAGACATCGGCACAGTACCACAGCACTTTGTAAAGAGAAGGAAAAGAAAAAGGGGCGGGAGGGCGGGTCGGAGCCTTGAGCATGTCGGCCGCGGAGCGGTGCGGCCGCCTGTTCGCTCCTTCTTCGCTTCCAGATCTGAAAATCAAACAAGCAAGTACATGCACTCCATCGGCGGCCGAACAGCGAAGCTGATGGATCATCACCTTTTTGACGTGTGCATGCACGCTCGAGAGGCACAGCGCTCTGGGACCGAGGTTCCCACGCTCGAGACTCGAGCGGGAAACGAGACACCAACGCAGCACCCATTTCCCAAACGGGCAGCCTGGCCGCAGGCCGGAGCCCCCAAGGGCTTCAAACATTGATCAACTGTGGCGAGAACATCTACACACACATCATCTCGGCTAACTTTAAACCGTGCATCTGTTCGGCAGAATGGGAGAGGACAGCGGCGGCGGCGGCAGCGAACCGAGGTGGGCACTCCGCGGCAAGGCTGGTCCATTTGCGGCCGCCAGGCGCAACTCCTGGCAACTCTACGTGGTGGAGTTTCGTACGCGAGCAGACTCCAGCTTTCCCTGGGCACTTGCAACTCAAAACCTGCAGGGGCGAGATATTCCAACCTTGGATTCGCGTGGCCTTGCGCCAGCGGGTGCCGTGCTGACAGAGATGGCAGGTGCAAGAAACAACATCGGCGCCCGCGGCAAGCTTTACAGGGCGAGGTGCTGCCCACAGGATTGAAGTCTGCGGATTTTCGAGCAGCACTGGGACACCGAGCAGCACAGGGAGACAATCCTACAGGAGAAATGGAAGGTAGCGTTTCCGATCTTTACACGAGACTGCCCGCTAGCATTTTAATTGGCCTTTCCCGTGGGCGCCTCGAGGTCTTGCAAGGGCCGTCTGAGAGCCCGGGTCCAAGACGCGCAAGGAGTGCCCAAGAAAACACCCAGGACGAGGCCACTCTTGAGCCATCCCGAGATAAGCCTTTCAAGCGCGCGATCGAGGTGGTCCTCCATGGGACCACGCAAGATGTCTGGAGACAGGGCAGTGAAGCCAGAGGCCCTGAAAGCCTTGGCGACTTTGCCAGCCCCTGCAAAAGGCTCCAAAAACGTGCCAAACCTATCCAAACCTCTTCAGGCGAGCTTCCTTCAATAGTTGGGCGAGGAGGCCTCTGATATGGCGCTGAACCTGAGCTGCCGAAGCCACAGCAGCTTGGCCGCGATCAGCGCCCGCGCGGCCTCGGGCAGCAGCTGCCAGACGCGCGAGCACTGCTGAAGGCCTGGCCCCAACTCGACAATCTCGAGCAGGTTGGCATGCACGATCCTGCCGAGGAGAAACACCCAGTCGGGCGCTCGGGTCATGGCGCCCTGCAGATAGGCCGCCTTGGCGTAGCGCTTCATGCTGCCCGGCGACGCCCAGCGCCCGTGACGCTACGTCTGCCCCAGCGATCGGCGGCCGTCCAGCCGATCGCAGCTCGCCCCGCCGCGCCTCAGCGAGTACATCGTCGGGTCCAGGACGCGCAGCTCGATGGCGTTCGCGAACCCGCTGAACTGCTCCCTGAGCGCCGGGAAGGTGAAATCCCAGAGGCTCTGGTCTAGGGTCACTGCGCCTCGCAGGCCTGCAAGCAACGGCCACAGGTGCTGGTCGAGGTCGATCACTGCGCTCTCGCTGCACAGCCCTGTCTTGCCTGGGCGGCCACCGCTGGCGGGGTGCAGGAGGAGAGCCCAGCTCACCGCGGAGAACGCCGCCTGCCCCACTGGGCGCGCCAGAGACGCCCCCCGGAGCCCCTGCGCCTCGAAGGGCCTGAGGCAGCAGCTGAACGTAAGCAGGGTCCAGATCGCCATGCGGCGGCGCCCGCCGACGGCTAACATGCCCGCCAGGGCGGCAGCGGCGAAGTATGGCAAGGGCACCCTCGTCATGGCAGGCACCCTCCGCAGCCGCGCAATCGAACTCCTGGTGGCCCGCGGTAGCTGGGCCTTCCACGAGCCCTGGAGGCCTGGAAGTGGGCGAACGCAGCCAGCAGCAACGAACCTTGGCTCGAGGGCGCACCCTCCATGAACTGGCGATTCAGGAAGCGGGTCACCGCGGCGTCCAGCTGGCCGAAGTCCTTCCAGTCCAGGCGGCTCAGCGAGCAATAGGCCACGAACCCCTCCAGGACCTTCTGGTACTGCACCACTGTGCTGGAGCGAATCGCGATGGTCTCCAGCGCGCTCGGCGGCTCCAAGGGCGGCCGCTCTGCCAGGAAGCGTGCAGCCATCGCCGCCCGCCTCTCCCGCGCCTCCGTTGCGGCCAAGGCAGGGCGTCGCGCCGGCCTCCGAAGGACTGGCGCCGCCGACGCCGCCGCTGGCCTCCGACGCGCAGCCATGGGCGTCGAGGCTTAGCGGCGCGGGCGGGCGGCAGCCGACAGCAGGCCCCCGGCCAGCGGCGCGCACCAACGGCCCCGCGCCGGCGGTGGGCCCCCGCGGTGGCCGGGCGCGGCCGGCGGCATCTGAGAACCAGGTGCGCCGACCTCGAGACAAGGCATCGGCGGGGTTGCGTTCTGATGGGATCCATCGGCAGTGCAATCTCGTCCCTGTTGCTAGTGACATCATGCAAATCTTCAACAGAGGTAGCTGCAAATACGAGGAATCAGCTCTCCCTTTCGCCACAGCTAAACAAAGCGGCACGTTATCGACCAGAGCCAGGACACGCTTGCCAAGACACGCAGAGGACCTAAGCAGGTGCTTGTAGGCCACTACCAAAGCGTCAGCCTCCAGACCCAATATGCTCTGGCCCTCCTGGGCCTGCGTGGCCACGACGCCCCTCCACGACTTAGCATCCAACAACCCTGCAGGGACCTCGTCGAAGTCCTTCAGCCTTTTTCCGATGTCTAGGACCAGCGGGATTCCCGAGACGTTGCCCACCACGGAGTCCTCCAGCCCTTGATGAGGCCCTTCAAGTCCCCGCTGAGGTCGTTGATGGGGCCCTTCGCGTTGCACGGCTCGGCAGCAAGGATCTCCTGGGGCTCCACAGGGTACACGTTGAGGCCGTTGAGGAGGTCAGGCGTGCCAGGCGAAGCCGCCGCGGCATCTTCTCGGTCGTTCGACTGATCAGAGACAGGCAGGAGAGCAGCTGCAGGAGGAGCGGGGCTGGTTCGCGAAGGCAAAGGCTCTGATGGGTGGACGGGTGATGCAGGCTGGGCGAGCGCTCTGTCTCGCGCACGCGCGCCACCATCCACTCGGTACCGCCGCCGCTCGCACTGCCTCCCGCACTTGGCGATGAGGTCGGCTGGAGCCTGCCTGCGGCGCACTCCCAGCCCCTCCTCGCTGGCGTCGCTGGCCACCAGCCGCGTCGCCCAGGGCGCCGCCGGATCCGCGACCAGGAGCGGCAGCAGGCAGCCGGCCCGCCACAGCTCAGGTGGCGCTGAGCAGCCCGAGAGCCTCGCGCCTGATCATCGATGCCCACGTCAGGTGGCCGATGACGACGCGCGCCAGGAGCCCGGAGGCCCGGCCCTGCAGGAGCAACTTCTCGATGGCGTACTGCAGCCGCCAGACGGAGCGGCCCTTGATGGCCAGCCAGCGCCCGCGGCGGAACTCCATGCCCAAGGAGCTGCAGGAGTCGGAGGCCCGATCAGGCTGGTGCACGCGCAGGACCGCACCCTCCAGCGCCGCCGTGATGCGGTCCAGGGACTGGTCGACGAGCGTCGCGCCGGCGCCCACTGTCAGGTAGTTATCCACGTAACCTGCCACGGCGGGCGGGCAGCCAGGCTCCAGGACGACTCCGGGAAGCCCATCGTCCACGATGAGATGTCCCGGCCCGCCCGCCCGAACGACAGCAGTCCGCAGCGCCAGCTGGCAGAGGTGGAGCACCCATGAGAACCCCGTGGGCAGCACGACAAGGCAGGCCTGCAGGCGCCCGCCGTTGGGGAGCCCCGCGATCCCGCGCGCCTCGAGGTGCCGCCGATCGACCGCCCGCGGCGACGACCACCTTCCCGTCCTTCGCCTCCAGGTTGGCATAGGCTGCAGCACTCGGCAGCGCCGTCGTGGGCGGATCCGAGAAGTAAGCTTTGACAGTGCGAGTGTCAAAGATCAGTATCAGACGATCGCTCTCCTTTGCCACACAGAAGACACCAATTGGCTCGATGCTGGGGTCCTCCGCCTGGAAGCAAATCATCTTGCGGCTCGTCATCTGGGCCAGGAAGTCGGCGTAGGTCGCTGGGGAGAAGGCAAGGTTTGGGTCGACGCACGGCCCACGAGGACAAACTTGCTGCAGAATGGCGTCGGCCTCCCCTCGATCTCTCAGCATGCTCGAGCTGGCCCTAAGCCACTGAGCGTCCGTGCCAGCAACAACACGTGAGCGGCACGGGGTCGTCGCCGACGTCGGGCCACGAGATCAGGCCCCGCGAGTAGGGCCGGCGTGGGCCTCCAGCGTTGCACAGCGGAGCCCGAAAGAAGGTCAGCAAGAGCTCCTCCAGGGAAGCCGTCGCCAGTCTCTAGCTGTGCCAGGCTGGTGAAGGCTGTCTGGATGTGCTCGAGGGGCGCCCGCTGGCCTTCGGAAACCGACGGCTGACAGCTGGGCCCCTGGAGCGCAAACAGAGTTCACGAAGTCAATGGCGCCGTTGGCCCAGTCAGCCCACGCAGCAGCGCTCCGACCAGAACGCTTGGCGCGGCGCCTGCGCCCAAGACTGCGGCGTCCATCGCGCCGCCCGTGGAGAGGAAGAGGAAACAGGTCCCGCTGCCGCTCGCCAGCCGCGCGATCAGGAAGAACCGGAGAAGGCCTGGCAGCCGAAGTAGCACAGGCCGAAGGGCATGTCGGCGGGGGTGGGCGCCCATCTCCACCCCCCGCTCCGAGGTCACTTGTGATCCTTGCCAGAGCCCTTGTCGCCCTTGGTCCCCTCCTTGCTCTTGCGGGCCAAATCGCGCTGCTCTCTGGCTTTGCGCTGCTCCTTCCTGTAGGCGTTCATCTTGCTGAGCTCGTCCCTGCAGTGCTCCTGCAAGGCGGGCGAGACACAAACGTTGCCGCGCAGCTGATCCGTGCCCAGCAGCACGTGCGATTACATGTTCGTCGAATCCACCGCTGGCGCTAAGCGGTCGCGGTAGCGCTCCTCCTGGAGCTGCACCGCGCGCGCCAGCATCTCGCCCGAGGCGAGGTTCGCAACATTCAACTGGTCGTACACCACCATCCGCACCAACGTCTGGCACGTCCTCTCGTGCTCGTCGACTCCAGGCTCGTGCCCCTGGAGCTGCGTCTCCGAGATCCACCGCGAGTGGCAGCCTGCGGGCGTGCCACCGTGCGCCTCCATGAACTTCAAGCACCACAGCGCTGTCCGAGACCCTCGCACGGGCCAATCGTGGAAGCTGCCCCCTGTCATGGCGTCATGGCCATCACCGCCGTGCGGAAGTCCATGCGCCGCTGGCCCTGCAGATCGAACGCAGCAGCGAGGATCCGCGCATCCTGCGCCGGCGCGGCCGCCGCGCCAGGCACCCCAGCCGCCTGGGCCACGCCAGGAGCTGGGGCGGCTGCGATCAGCGGAGCAACCGGCACACCGGGCGCCGCTGGGGCCGCCGCGCCCGCAGGCGGCAAGGCCAGGGCAGCCGCGAGGCCCGCGACGCCTCCCAGCGCGGCAGGGGCAGCAGCTGCAGCAGGCGGTGGCGGCCCGGCCACCAGCGCACTGCTGGCGGGCCCGCGGCTAGGGGCAGCCCAGGGGCCGCCGCCGCTGCAGCGGGTGCCGGGGGGGCGCCTGCCGCCGCGACGGGCCGCGGTCTGGCCGCGCCTCCAGCCCAGACGAGGTTCGGGATGACCAACGCCCCAGGGAGGAGGCCCACGCCAAGCCGAGCCGCCGCCGCCGACAGCACCTGCGCGACCCGCAGCGGTGCAGGGACGCCCCGAAAGCCATGCACATGTGCACCCGCCGCCGCTGGGCATGCGCCCATGCGCCCAGCATCGCACGGCAGCCACCTCTGCACGTTCGCCGCCGAATGGAGATCCTCCTCGTAGCTGTCGTCGTCTGGCGTGAGCGTGCACACCAGGCTTCCGTCGTCCGGCGCGAGGATGACGAGACGCTCGTGCATCACGCCAGGGAAGCCCACGTACTCCAACAGGATGAAGCCGCCCTCCTGCAGTCCTGCCGCCACCAGCGGATGCACCCCGCGGCCGCCATGCCTAGCGGGTCAGCTGGGCCTTGGAGGCGCGGAGGGCAGCCATCTTTTTGTTTGACAGGACCTCGGGATGAGCAAACGAGGCGCGAGCTCCCGCAAACAAGCACCTCGGCTGTAAAGGACTGCCGCCGCTGGCTACCTCCTTTGAGGTACGCGGCGACAGTCAGTCGGTGCCCACGGGTGCGGCTGGGGAGCGGAGAGCTGGCAGCCGCGGCGCGAGCCTCTATGAGGCGTAGCGCTTCCGAGGCACGCGACAAAACACAGCAGCTCGGGTACCCCGCAAGCGGGCCACGGCTGCACGCCGCAACAAAACACCTGTAAGTGAAAGAAAGCAGCGAAGAGGTGTCCGGGCCCAGGCAGCCTGACCTCTGCGACGCCACGACACGAGCCACTGTCGGGGCCGTACAAAGACAGCCCCCGTGCTCGGATGGTAATCATCGCGGACGCGCGTGCCATGCGCCTTCCCCCAGAGCGGGGCGCCTGATACGCGTGCCGAGCGACCACGAGAGCGCACGCACAACGGACGCACATGATCACCAGATAGAAAAATACGGCAACACTGAAAAAACGAACCGAAAAAGATAGGGCGACGCCAGGACGACAGCTAGGAAAACCCCAGGTGTACCTAACCACGAAGGCGGACGCCTGGACGGCCCCTGAACTGCCCCAGGTGTGGGCCCATCTCGCATCCTGAGTCAGTGCCCCCATGGCGGGCCCTCCAGATGCGGCCAAAGACCAACTGGGCAGAGCGATCAAGGACCCGCCGCCTTCCGCTCCAACGAAAGGGACACAGACTAGCAGGGCGGCGAGATAAAACGCCTGTAAAGGAGAGAAACCAGCGACGAGAGGGCCAGGCCCAGGCAGCCTGGCCTCTGCGACGCCACGACACGAGCCCTGGTCGGGGCCGTCCAGAGACAGCCCCCGTGCTCGGATGGAAACCCTCTCGGACGTGTGTGCAATGCTCCTTCCCCCAGAGCGGGGTGCCTGACACTCGTGCCGAGCGACCGCGAGAGCGCGCGCGCCACGGGCGCGCACTATCACCAGACAATTGGAAATAAGAAACGACCGCCCACGTAAGGACGACGAGACCCGCAACCCCTGGTGCCGCGGGCGCCAGGGCGACCGCAAGCCTCGCCCCAGATGTGGGGCATGCAGTAGTAACACCTCGGCAGCACTGAAACAAAGAATAGAAAATGATTGGGCGACGCCAGGACGACAGCCAGGAAAACCCCAGGTGTACCTAACCACGAAGGCGGACGCTTGGACGGCCCCTGTACTGCCCCAGGTGTGGGCACATCTCGCGCCCTGAGCCAGCGCCCCCATGGCGGGCCCTCCAGATGCGACCAAAGACCAACTGGGCAGAGCAATCAAGGACCCGCCGCCTTCCGCTCCAACGAAAGGGACACAGACTAGCAGGGCGGCGAGATAAAACAAGGCAGACGCCTCAGGCCTAGCATGAACATAAGAGTGCCTGCTAGGCCGTCCCCGTCAGTCTGAGCTGTCGGAGTCCTCCCCGCGGTGCGGCAGACCGCTCACCATCTCTCCCACAGGCGAGGTGTGTGAGGTGGCGAACACCCTGCGAACTTTCGACGCCTGTGCGTCCTGCGCTGCGTCTGAGGGTCCTCTGTAGCTAGGAAAGGTCTTCTTGCCTACCCTGGCCAGGTTCTGGAGGCCCTTGCGTGTTGCGGGCTCGCATTGAGACAATAAGCTTCTCGGGGCGATCGTCGCCGCGCGGCCGCAAGTCGCGCAAAAATAATAAGAGCGCCGCGGCCAGAAACGAAGGGCGTGGGACTCGTGAAGCTGCTTCCCACCCAGCGTCACCCCTCCACCCACCGACCGAAACTCATCGATAGCCGAGACCGTAGACCCTGGGGCCGCCGACGGATCAACCGAGCACTCCGTCGCGCATGCCTCCAGAATGTCTTTCTGGTTAACAATGCAGTGGCATAGGCAACGCACAAATGTATGGGAGGCCTGGCGCACGAAACAATGTTGGCTCTCAAGCACAACCTTCGCTAGGGTCGCCTCCGACGAGGCAGTGCTGGGGCTGACTTGGGCCACTCGGGGACAGCTGGAGAGGTCCAGACGAGGCCACTGAGGGGGGATTTTGGCCGCCAATTTGCAAACCTCTTCAGCGACCCTAATGCAGAAAGTCAACGCCTCCTGCTCTTCGTCGGAGGCCGCAGGGTGCAGATTGGCCCCTGCTTTAGCCGCCAGGTCCCCCGCGTGGTTGCCCAAACGGCGCCACCTCTCGTCAGGCTCGATTCCCTCCTCGCGAGGATCGAGGTGAGCCTTCACCTTCGAAACAGCACTGATCCGCGGGGCCCCTAAGTTAAAAAAGCATCATGAGGCCAGCGCAAGGCCTCTTGTAAGAAACCTGCAACTCCCTCGGGGCACGGGCGAGGCCCACCACATTTTTGCAGTCACTAAAAACAGACGACGGACCCGTGACTTCGAGGCCCGCTCTGGCCAGGGCCGCGAACTCTCCGCATTGGGGAGTTTGGAGGAACGGAGCATACACGGGGGCGTAAATCGTGCACGGTTCTTGGCCAGCGTCGTCGACTAAAACAAGACCATACCCCGCCCTCGAGAGCTCAGCGACTTGGTGCCTGAAACAGCACCCGTCAACGAAGATAAAGCCTCTGAAACTGCCATCGTCGGGAGGGGATCCGTGCCAGACCTGGACCGCCTGGGCCCCAGCGCTCTCACCAGCGGGCCTCGGGAAAACGTCCCCAAGGTGGGGAAACAAACCTTTCCCGAACAGAAGGCCGGTGAGGGGGTCAGACGGGCCCGCCGCGTCAGCAGCCTCCTGAATGTCACGGTCTATCAACTCCGATCGCATCGAATCGAAAGCAGGGCATCGCCAGAGCCGGTGAAAAGGCGTGTCATCGTGCTGCCCGCACATCGCACAGCGATCGTCCGACAGCATGTAACCCGCTTTTATCACCCTGCTGTTGGTCCAGAGAGCGTCACACGTAAGGCCCCTGATGCACCCTTTTTCGAGAGCCGAGAATCGTTTCGATCGGAGCAGGTTGCGGACGATATCGTAACACAAA